TATGCAAATTATAATTCATATATTCAAACACTGATGCAAAACCATTAATCATTGGTTAATTTTATATAAATTATTTTTCCTTCACAGGTTCTGTGATAAAGCAGTCTTTAAAAACTACAGTGTCTGAATTGTTCAGCCATTTGCAGGCTTAAGTTTTTTTTTCTTCAGAAAATTGCATTTTGATGCTTATATTCAATAATGTAATATTCATAGTATGGCATAACTGAAATGTTCTACAAATAGATAAAAAGAGCTCTGCCGTAGCATTTCACTGATCTTTCATTTATTATGCAATTTTGGTCAGGATATTATATATGCTGCTGTACTTTTTAATGTACTCTAGCATTTTATGTTTATGTTTAATCATTTATGTTGAATTATTTTTGCACCTTTATACCATTTTTAATACCAGAAAAAAAGCAACTTAATAATAAACTAGTAGTATAATGCTAATGCATTTCTAATGAGCTGACATGCTATTGAAATGTTACTGAATCACATTAAAATAATATTTTACATTGATTGTAAATAAATACACTTAAATTGCACTAAATGTACTTGAAGTGGTTTCTCTGCAGACGTACAGCTCTCCCTCTTCCCAGCGTGCTTTGCTGAGGGTCAGGACGCTACTGCGGCTGTAGCGGCCGTCCTGCTCGCTCTCTGCGCTGGTCACAACCCCCTCGGTGACCTCTGAGCCGTCCAGTGTCCAGCTCACCAGCGCCCCCTGTGGAGAGTAAGAGCTGAGCAGGCAGAGCAGTGCGGCTGAGTCTCCAGAGATCTGCAGAGAAGAGGGCGGCAGCAGAGACACTGAGGGCTTCACTGTGGGACCAGCTGCAGGAGACAAACACAACACATTCACAAACACAGAGAAAACACACTGCAGCTCCAGCACTCTTCTGCCCTGCAGCATTCACAGCATTTCTACAGGACTTTCAGCAGCAGACATGAGGAGTGCAGTCAAGATCACAACATTCTCATCATTTATCTTATTCAACACCAAAACAGCTGATATATTTATATTTATAAGTATATATAACATAAAAACTACACATCTCTGTATACATTTACATGAAACTTCATAAAATGAAACTAAATGTAGAAAGACACTGACTGCTTTAATCCAGTAGTTTTCATATTCTGAGATCAAGTTTAGAATTGAATGCCAATTACACTCTTATATGTGACCCTGGACCAAAAAAACAGTCTTAAGTGTCAATTTTTCAAAATTGAGATTTATACATTAACTGAAAGCTGAATAAATAAGTTTTCCATTGATATATGGTTTGTTAGGATAGGACAATATTTGGTCGAGATACAACTATTTGAAAATCTGGAATCTGAGGGTGCAAAAAAATCTAAATATGGAGAAAATCATCTTTAAAGTTGTCCAAATGAAGTTCTCAGCAAAGCATATTACTAATCAAAAATTAAGTTTTAATATATTTACAGTAGGAAATTTACTAAATATCTTCATTGAACATGATCTTTACTTAATATCCTAATCATTTTTGGCATAAAAAAAAAATCTATAATTTTGACAATGTATTGTTGGCTATTGCTACAAATATACCCCAGCGACTTAAGACTGCTTTTGTGCTCCAGGGTCACATATTTT